TCTCCTTTTCTCCCAGTTTTGGGCAAAGCAGGTATGAAACAAGTCAAAAGAGTTGTGTCCAGTGTTTATAGGGGCAAGGAAGTGTCTTTGTGATATTTCAACTCAATATTGATATTTTTCAATAACGCCTGCCTTCCTGAAAATATTGTAATGATGATGCAAACAATGTATTGACATTGTAGTTTTGACTGAATTTATTTAGGAAGTTGAAATACACCAGAATGAAGTGAAATTGCTGGAAACCAACAACGCTAAGTTAGAAAGTGAAATAAGGTGAGGAAAAACATGTACCACAAGACTTCCAAGAAGAAGTGGTCTAGGTGTGTAACGAACGACCCAAATAGTGACTGTGGGAGGGGAGACCACACTTCAGCCCCTCCCTCACGGGACGACTGGGCATGGGTCCAGCTCATGGGTCCCCGGGTAAAACAAGACATCGAGACAAGTTGCAAGCAAATTACGTAGTGTAACAGAGAAGAAGTTCCATTTTACATAGCCTACAAGCACGCTGGGAGCAAACCTCACATTTGCTGTCCCATGAGTGAGTTACTCAAAAGCCCCTCTGCCTCACAGTTTCGCCACTAAAGAGCCTGCTTTCACTTGCGCGCTACTATGAAGCTGTTGGTACACAAAGAGGGGTCTCAGGTTAAAAATCCAAGAAGTTCCACTGTATCTGACAAATTAATAGCAAACTTCTGATATTTTGATGAGGCTCACATCGTTTGACCTGCTAGAATTCCTTATGAACACTCTACGTGTGCCTTTAAAAGTTATCTGGAACTCTGATGGTACCTACATGTACGTAATAAGATATTTCCGAGTTACTTTCTACCTCTGTTTCAAAACGAGTCCTGTTGCACAACCTTTCATATGGAGATGAGTTTGATTTGCAAGACAATAAACGTGCAAGAAAAACTCATTTCAATATGAAAGGTTGTGCACCAAGACTCGTTTTGAAACAGAGGTAAGAGCAGCTCAGGAATGGCTTATTTGTCCCCTTGCAAGTCAGAGACTCGAGCGTCCTGTAAACTGAACACGCTTCAAATATCACAAAATCAAGACGAAAAGAATATGTGTAGACAAAAAGGTGTTTAAAAACACGTTTTTGTTCACAATTTTTGAAAAAGCGCAGGTTGTTTGCCATCTGCTTTAGCTTTGATGAGTGATTGGCAACTTAGGCATGTGAATGGTAACTTGGCCAGGCCCTGGATTGTGAAGATGACAAATAGCAATGGTGTGATGCAGTTTAGTTCATTCTTGGGCTTTTTTGTAGCATACGGTAACTTTTTAACCCTTGTTAATCCTACAGAGAATTGCTAAAAAGCGAAACCTTGGACACACAGGCTGAAATATTTCCTGAAGTATTTGGGAAAAGGGAGAAGTGAGTACAGCATTTCATGTGGTTTACATGTTGTGAATAGTCTTTGTATAGAGGATTTCAGACGTTTGTATTTGCTTTTTCCGTTTTTATTTTGTCCAATCACTGAGTATATTATGAGGAAAAAAGTGGAGGTAGCGTGCCTGCGTGCGTGTGGAAGTGCGTGCGTGTGGAAGTGCGTGCGTGTGAAACTGCGTGCTTATGACAGTGCGTGCGTGTGAAACTGCTTGCCTGTGTGCGTGTAGGTAAGATTGCAGTGTTAGTGTTGACTCGTAGAGATACTTCAATTCTGTTATTGTAAAGGAGGGTTGAATGCCGTTTGTGATAAAAAAGACTTTGGTCATATATACACCTGAAAATAATGACGTTGTTTTGAATCGTTCTGCAGATGTACCCCAGACATGGAGCTCCATCTTGATATCCCCACACACGACTGGCTTCCAATATAGCGACTCACAGATAGTCGTTGCTTCTCATAAAACCCTGGTGTAAAAAAACGTTATTTATAGATACCGATTTGTAAAGAAAATAATAATAATAAAAACATTGTAAATCATCACATCACGCTCATTTGTTAGAGTCCGCTCCTTCAAAGGAGGTTAAATACAGTCACAATTTATTTCGAGTTAACTGGTTTCCAGTTGAACGTTTGTTTCGTGACGTGATTTACGCACGCGAACACTGTTACAGAGGTTTTGATTCGTGTTTCTTGTGACACTATTTTTCTTGGTTTTCTCGTAGCTTAGCCAATCAAAAACTATTTCCTCTGGCAAGGGAAGAAGTTGTTCTTGGATATATTCCTGTTATACCTGCCATTGTTGTTTTCCATTTGACTGGATGAAAACTTTAGAGAGTAACAAAAAGAAAACATACAACGAAAACAAAACGAAAACTTTAAACGAGTTCAAACATCTGTATGGCTAAACTAAACATTAATTAGGTTTTGTAATAGCAACGGTGATTGCTTTCAGTGAATTAACAAAGGTGACAATTTTGTACTGATATTTTTGTTACTTTGACTGTAAATATTTTGAGTTATTTAAAGAACTGCTGTTACCATTTCTGGATATTTGTAAAAAGTACAAGAAAAGCGACTGCTTCTGTAAAAGATTGTAAAATATTTACGATAAATAAGAAGTGTTAAAAATGTATTGAAAACTTTTTCAACACTCTTGATTATGTCTGTCTTGTATTAGAGGGATTTTCAATTGATTGTCGTAAAACCAAAACCAAAGAAATCACTCTAGCCGATCACAAAGGACACAGAGAATCCAGAGACCCAATTAAAACTCAAATTATTATGTAAGTAGGTATTATGATGTAATGGAGTTGTCTTCAAGCACATCCCTTCGTATGCGGCTGGATAAATTTTTTGGGATATATACCTGTCCCGGGTTGTTCGAAAGGTGGATAACGCTACCCACTGGATAAATCTATATCCAGCGGATAGCATGGTTTGTTTTGTTGAAACTTATCCACTGGAGAGCGATTTATACGGTGGACAGCGTTATCCATCTTACGTACAACTGGGGCCCGGGGGAGGGGTACTCCCAGAAAAATTGGACCGTAGGGGTGTGCGGCCCGCTTCCCAAAACCCTTACCCTATTATACTATTACCCCTTACCCTAAACATAATTTGTGAAGGGCTTTTGTTGATTTTCTTTTCGATAATGATGAAAAAGTGGCTTCTTCTCAAAAACATACCTATATCAAGGCTAGAGTGCAAATACCATACTCTATTTATGACCAAAATGGCCAAAATCAGCTAAAATCGATACCCTATTGACGGCTGAAAAACCATACCCTTTAATCTTTGGTGCCGCACATACCTATATAGCTCATATAAGGGACGGACCATTAGAAAGGGGGGGGGGAGGGGGGGGGGGGAGGTTGGGAAAAAACCGAAAAAAAATTCATGCAAGGGAAAATGCCAAGAAAAAAAAATTCGTGCAAAGAAGGTAAAGAAAAAATATTCATGTAGAAGGTCCAATTGTGACTTTTATTTAATATATAAAATTTGCCAGTGTCTATTAAAAATAATTCTTATTCAAAATATTCTTGGGGCCTTACCCCAGGCCCTGCTATATTATTATTAATAAATAAAGACATCTAACATTGTACTGAAGTGTTTTCCTCACACTGCATGAAATAACAAATATAAGGTGACATAAATTAATTCATACTACAATAGCCAGAAATGTCATTCAGAAATCAACAATATTACCAAGCACAATATGAATAAACAAAAATCATTTTCTTCCTATTGAAAGGAGACAATTAGAACCTTGTTTTTGTTTTAAATTGCAGATAGTGTACCTACAACATACACTAATCGTGAGCGGTAAACGGAATGGTACTCTGACAAAAACACTACAAAATCGGTAAAACGGTAAACTCTAAACGGCACAAAACTCTCTAAAAGGCATAACAACTGCTCACTGGAAACTGTCCAAAATTCTGCTGGTAAACGTCCTCGAAACTTAAATTTGTACGCGTAATAAACGTACACATAACCTAAATTTAAAATGTTTCCGTGTGCGTGCGCGCTATTCGTGCGTCACGCCACTTCAGAACTGTCTTCTCAACATAAAATGTATGCTGTATTACAATAAAAATAATAAAATAAAATTTGTAATAAATAAATATTAGAATCAGGTATCTTTGTAAATATTCTACAGCATTATTTGTGCCCACAATAAAAATTAGAGGATGGGTCTTATTCCCTTGAACCAGACTATGTGGAACTCTCACACGAAAGGTGAGTCTTACATTTACTTTCTTTTTTTTAGTAAAATGAAGCCTAAGTTCATTTAAGTTATTACAGAGCACCATAAATATTAAATAACTTTTGAGAATCATTTGAATATTTCACTTTTGCTAAACAGGTACCGTCTTTTTGGATTGACATTTTGGAGTGGAGGGCACTATAGAGGGGCTGTTTTGGTGAATGGAGTATGGCATCGTTATGATGGGCTGTGGGAGAGGAATTCCAGAGGGCAGGACTGAAAAAATGCACAGGGAAGCCGTCCACTCCAGGTGGCTTCCTCCTCTCTCACTGTGTGTACATTTTCGAAAAGATTTTGCATTGAAAAGTGGCCTGTATCCTTTGATCTGTTGTGAGTGTAGAATAATTTATAAAGCACAAAATCATAGATAGTGAATCAAGATTTCACTGTTCCAAAAAAAGCACTATTTGTCTGAAAAAAAAATTCGTGCAGAGGGTTTCGCCTGAAAAAAAAAAATTCCTGCACAAGCAGCAAGCGAAAAAAAAATCATGCAAGCTGAAAATTCCCCACTCCCCCACCCCCACCCCCATCACTTTTCTGATGGTCCGTCCCTTAAAAGGAGTACCGCGGGAATTGGGGCCAGGAGATTTGTTCTCTACCCGAGGACAGCTGGATATCCAAGTTTGGGTACTCCAAATACACATGAAAATATGTTAGACCGAATTTGTTATGTCTGTCCAGTTGGCGGAAAGCATTGGCCCCACAGCATAAATCAGATCCTTTCTATCACCTCCTCGAAACACCAAAACAAGTGCTTGCAGTGATTTTGCGTTGGACCCCCAGGTACGAGTCGGTACTTCGTACATGACGAAATATTTGAGATGACCCACAACTCACCGCGCGTTAATAACGTTAGTCTTCCGCCATCTTGTTGGAGTTTGGCCATCTAAACTTTCATCATGGCAAGTTTATTGAGGATGGGTGCTCTCCCTCGACTTTACGCTAGAATTGCTTGTAGGCAAATCCAGACGTCGGCTGCACGGAGATATGAGCCTGTTCCAACGGTTAGACGGGAGTATGGGTCTGAATTAGCAGCCCTGCAAGCCAAGGAGAAGGGTCCGTGGACCGAGCTTACAAAAGAAGAAAAAATAGATTGTAAGTCTTCTGATTTGAGCTTACATAAGAGCGTAGTGACTACTATTTTACGTTTTACTTAATGGTTAAGTAATCGAATTCATTTTGGTGTTTTAGATGAATTAAGATTGTTTGAATAACCGTGTTCGTCATATTGGTTCATTAGCCAACTGGGTCGCCTTAATACTCGAATGTTAAATACATGTGTGAGGTTAAATACAAGCTGAAGACTTGCTTAATCCTTTCATTATCATTGTTAACTTAACGTGTGCAGAATTCATGTGATTAAATTAAAGGTCTGCTTAAAAACCTCAGTGGAGCTATTAAAATTATAATCATACGACGGCGTATTGATGTTCTTAACAACATCTTCAAGGTAAGAGTGCAAGTATCGAGGTGATATAAGAATTTCAACAGGTGAAAAAAATTTAACATTTTTTTTCATATTATATGAGTGCAAGCAGACTTCATCTGCGAGAAGTTATTCATTTTACACGTACAAAAAATGTTATGTTTGTTGAATTGTATACAACTTTAACCCATTTTCACCTGGAGCATTTTGGAAAAAACGCCTTTTTGGACTTTTTCAGCCTGAATATGAGCCAAATAAGCTCCAATCTACTCAAAAAGGCATTTGCAACATGATAGGATGCATTTCTTTCCACTAGCATCACTTTTTAGTTCACCTTCTTCTGGGCTTGCTTCCAGTTCAAGAATTTCTGAGAAAGCATCATCGAGATGGAAAATCCTTACCACGGAGTAGCCAAACGTAGCTGAGGGAAATTTTGCTCTGAATTTTTCACTCCATTTTCTGAGCATTTTCGTGCTCATATATTAGAGGTATCATTGGAAAGTAGGAGTGTAACAATTCATATTCCTTGTGATTCCATTCAATTTCCATGATTGCTTTTTGATTTCGATTATTTCAATTCGATTATGCAAAATTTTAATGTTTTTTTTTTTTTAATTTTAGTTTACAACATGATACACAATGTAAACAACATACAACCCTAAACCCTCAATTTTAGGATGCAATGAGAGTCTCGCACATGGTTTGCCATATTTGGAAATTCTCAAGGGGTGGTAGAACGGTAACATTTTTACCATGCAACACAAAATGGTGCACGAACTGCAAAGATCTTTACTCATCAAACAAAAATGCACATTTTAAAGGGTTCAGGATTCTGATTTCACAATATAATAACTCACTGAGGGCACTCTGGGAAAGGTATGCAAAAAGTCAAACCAAAATCGAAATGTGGAATCAAATATTGGGATTCAAACCGAATGGTCATAATCATGATTTATCGAGAATTCAATCAATCAATACACCACTGTTGGAAAGATCTTTTCCTCCTGTAGAACTTGAGTATAAGTGATGCCAATTTTGGTTAAAGGTGATGATGTCAGAAGTGTAACAAAGGCCAACACTCATCAGAGGCGGTTATGGGCGGCACAGGCATCAATAGGTTAATATGTACAATCAAAATAAAAACTTTGCTAGTGTATGCAGAACCAGTTCTTACAAATTAAACCAAGCAAAGAAAAGTCTCCTTACTACTCAGGATTCTGATGACTGTTGGAACGTTTGTTGATTCAAGACTTCACAACAAAACGCAGTCTCCTTTCAATTTATAGGTTTGCTCTGCACTAAAGTTTTTAATTGTAACACGTTGGGAAATTATAATCTGGTGGATGCTGGATCACCAAAAAACGGTGTTTCCTGATATACTTGCCTACCTAGAAAACCGGGTGTGATTCTCTGACAAGGTATATTGACATACATGTAATTTTTCTCTTAAGTATACAGAGCCCAGTTTGTAAAAACCATTGCAGAGGAAAAAGTTCAAGAACCATATATGAAGAAGATGATTGGAATGCTTGCTTTATTTTTGGCTGTATCAGTTGGTTTGTTTTCATTTCTCAGGAAGTATGGTGAGTACAGTGGTCTCCTACTACTAGTAATTTTCAGTCAGTGTGATTAATATTCAGTCATTGAGGCCCTATTAGGTATTTCCAGGATACGGGATTATTTGGGTAACAAATTAACAGGGTACAGGATCTTTGGAGGAAAAAATTAATGGGATATGGAATATTAAAATCAGATAAAATGGAAATATCAAGTGGAAATATCGTTAATTTGATATTCAATTGGAATTAAAAGGATTGGGGATACTTAGGTCAAAAATTAACCGTGTCAGGATGCGGGATTGTCAAACCTTCCCTAATGGGGCCTCATCATTGCATCTGTGTATTGTATGCGACATTATCCACTCCACAGAGTAAAAATAACTTTAAACAATTACAGATTTGTTATGATAATGGTACCCTAGCAAACAGGTTTAACTGGTTATTTGTAGTCCTCGTAATTCTCTTGAGTGCGTGCATCATAACACCCTACATAGACTTTGGTTTTCAATCTGTCACACACTAAGCATGATATATATATTTTTTTTCATGTCTTAGTTGGTCCAGAGAAGCCCCGCACACTCACTCCTGAGTGGCAAGCTGAAGCTGTCAAGTTGGCAAAGAAACGGAGGTCAAACCCCATCAGTGGAATAGGCTCCAAGCAGTAAACATTTACAGTGTTGTTTCATGCTCAACTTTGTTCTAAGCCTGCTTTAGTTTGTGGTAATTTTACGAATTTCGAAATACCTTTGTTTGACTGTATGCTCAGCTAATTATGTGTAAATAAAGGACGTAGTAATAAAGCATTGCTGCACTTTTAATTGTTATGGTTGTATGTCATTTTTTTTTAATCAAATATGTTTTAGGCTTATTTGTGCACATTTCTCTACTCCCTCACTAGACTGCAGGTTTTTTCATTCGCATTTCTTGTTTTGACTCAGATGCTAGGTATGCATGTTTGTGTGGTCAATTTATCATCAATTTGGTGCTACTAAGTTAAATCTAAGGACAGAAATCTGGAATTGAAATAACAGGAAAACAAGATTGTCTTACAAGCTTTTGGGACAGAATTTTATGACATGTAAATGCAATCATTACAAAATGACAGCGGACAAGAACAGTGGGTTTTTCAATTTGAAAGTTTTAGTGGAGTCAGAGTTATGAAGTTGGTTCTTGTGATTGTTGTGTCACATTCTGTCAATAGATTTATTAAAACCTTGTTCCCAAAGTGCCTCTTTCTCTCCAATCCCTTCTCGCCTCCCAAACTCAAAGAAGAGTAGAGACAAGAACTGGGTTGAAATTTTTTAAGAATCACTTTTTGGGAAATGTAGTTCTTTGCTTTCAGTTACTCTAATGACTGCCCACTTTATAACAAGGAAGAAAAGTGAAATGTTTTTTCTCTACTATAGGAAGGGGAGGTTTTTGTGTTGTCAAGTTTGGAGGCAGAAACAGCTCAAAAAGTCAATATAATATAATAAATTTTATTCTTTGAAAACCACAGTGATGCAAGGTAAAATATAGCAGTCCATAAACTGTCTTACACTAAGAAGAGTACAAAAACAGAAGTTGCACTGAACGATTTTTGGGGGCAACTTCTATTTTAATTTGTGTCCTTATTTTAACTTAGTTGTGATGACAGTTCCACAATAAATTGACTGTTCATAGAATTGATTTCTTAGTCTGACTTAGAGCAATGCCCTCCAGGCCTTGATAAATCTCATGAGGTACTGTAAACATAATGTTTAAGAGCCCTTTGTTTTCCTGATCATTGCTTCCAGCTGGTCCCACTGTTCATTTGGAATCTAAAAGTGAAAAAGGCATGAAAATAAAAGTTTAAAAGAGTTATTGAAGTTTGACAGCTCACAACATGCAAACAAAGAAAGAGAATTATGACATGAAGTATCTACCTTTCTGAACTCATTGAATTCACCAGCCATAGAGACATACTCTCCTCCATCAAATGCAATAACCTGCAAAAATGCAATGATTTTTATTTTTGCAAAGAATGGTGTATATTGAATTAGCTAGCAAAGTATTTTGAAAAGAAAATAAATTAAAATCTGAGATTTGGCTTGCCCCACTATCTGTCCATCATAATTGCCGGAAAAAATATTAAGTATTTCTTTCTCCTATTTGAATCCATTCTCCCAGTTGTCTTCCATTTTCCTCTTGAAACCTGTGATCAGGTGTTCTTATTCTCAAAATAAGAATGCCTTCAATCACATGTGACATTTTCCTTGTCCCAACGGACTGCCCCTTGGTCTCTTTAGAATTACCCATAGCCTGAGCCATCTGCTTCACCAGAAAATTGCAAGTGAACTCTGTGAAAACTAACTGTGGCTTATAATATTCAAATTATGGTACATGCCAGCAACTGCATGGTCACTTCCAAATACCACCCTTGATCATTTTTTGAAGAACTAGCTAGAGGCAGGAACCATAATCAGTTTTGGCAAACCTTGCATCCCGTGCTTGCAAGTTTGTCATGACTGTTAGTGACTATTTACTAACCATTCTCATCACAGACTGTCAAACACTTCATTAAATTAATGTAACATTTACAAAGATAGGTTCAATGATTTTCTTCATTGTCGTCACCTGTATCAGCTTGTACCCTGCAAGCAGAGTCTCCAAGAAGACTCTCCTTGCAGGGCAGTGTACTTGATGACATGAAAAGAAAATGTTTTTGCATACTAGAATTGATCACTGAAATTAAAGGATGAACACTATGACAATGATATTTCATGATAAATGCATACTTCTCCTGTCATCCAGCTGGAGTAATCACTGACAAGGTAAGCTGCAAGGTTTGCTAACTCTGGGATCTCGCCAAGTCTGCCAGCTGGGATGCGTTCAATAGCTACTGACTTGAAACTTCCTTGGGGATCTAATCGGCTGAAAGCACCCTAAAAACACATTAGGACCTTGTAAAATCTTTATTTACTGTTAGCAATAAGAGCATAAATTCAGTAACAACAAATAACATAATATTAATTATTATAAAGGTGCAGTGATATGTTTGAAAGATGTGTGCAAAAGCTACTAACAGCCACACAGCTCTCTCCACGCATTACCTGCCTATAATTATTATACTGGTGCAGCACTGTCATTAGTGTCACAAACCAACCAATAAAGGCATTTAGAAAACGGCCCTAAGAAAATACTCTTGCTGATTGGTTAAAAATTGTGTTTCTATAACTCGATAGAAACACAGAACTAGCATGAGCTGTTGACGTAATGATGGTGCAAGCAAAGAGAATTTACATTTTGATCAAAGAAAACAAGTCGTTTTTCTTTTTTTCGTCATGGCATTTTCTAAAAGAAATAGAAAGAGTGTTCTCCATGTTTCTATGGAGTAAAAGAAACACTTGTGAAAATTTGGGAGAGTTTGAAAAAGCTGTGGAAACACTTTCCTAATGGCCTGTGTTCCCACAGCATTTCTCGTTCTCCCAAACTTTCACTCTAACTTGTTTCTATAACTCGCTAGAAACACGGTACATGTTTTCTATTTCTTAAATAAAACATGATTGCTCATGTTAGCCCAATGACTAACCAATAGATTACGTCGTGAGATTGAAACAAATTCCAGCGCTTCTGGACATAGGCATGCAAAGCATGCAAAATACTCTGATGCTAACAATATTTAATTGAATACCTTGGTCTCAATGGGTCCTGGAGCTATGGCATTAAACCTCATCCCATATCTACCCCACTCCGCTGCAAGTGATCTAAAGAGATGTACAAAGAACAATAATTGTTCTCAATAATTATTACTGTTCACAGAGCAGAATTTGTATGCTGGTGTTTACAGTGTATTACCTGGTCATGGTCTCTACACCGGCCTTGGCAACAGCTGATGGTACGACAAAACCTGAACCAGACTTGGCATAGATGGTGGTGATGGCCAAGAAATTTGCACCTGACAAACAAATGAAACAGATCCCATTCACTTCCAATCGAGCCAGGAAAGAGGTATCATGGTTAAAAATCAATTACCTGCTAAACATGAAACACTAAAATTTTATTACAAAACATGAAAGATAGAAAGTGATATCAGTACTGGAGATTTTGTGTTCGTTTCAGGTTTTAGGATGGGTCACATGTGGTGCCAAAGGGTGTGGCTTTTAGCCATTTGGTCTAAAACTTCGACAGAGATTTTGACCAATTTGGATATGGTTGACAACTCTGGTCAGTTTTAATAGGCCCTTTGCAGCTGGGGTCACGTGACCAAATTTTTCCTAAAAAATTTTTGTATTATGGGCTATAACTTAAAGAATGCCAGAAATGGGAAGAACGCATCGAAAATACCAAAGAGGCCAAGTTTGAGGCCCCAGGAAAAAACGAGTAAGTTTATACCATAGTTTGAATTTTCGGAAAATTTAGAGGATTCGTATGGAAAATGTTTCTGGAGAGCAAGGTCTTGCTCTCCAGCAACATTTTCCCATACAAATCTTCTTATTCTTTCAAAAATTCAGACCATCATAAAATCTCAGTCTCTAATGATGGGGGCCTCAAACTTGGCCATTTTGATATTTGCGACATGCTTTTTCCATTTCTGGCATTCGTTAAGTTATAGCCCATAATTTTATGAAAAGTAGGTCACGTGATGGCTTAGCTGCAAAGGGCCTATTTATACCGGATAAAATCTGTCCTATTTGTCTCTTGACAAGTGCAATTTAACATTTGGAAATCTGAAATGTTTTTAAAAAACAAAGCAGTTTCTAGGTAGGGTAAGGGTTACTACCCTCTCCGAGTTTCAGGGACACCATATCAGAAACAGGAAAGCTCAGTCTGTGTTAACTTTTCAGGATAATGATGAAGACTTGTTAGTTCATCATCACTGTGTATGGACTATTCTGCCCTCAGAAAAAGATCAAATAGCCCTTCTGATCCTGGGAAAATGATCAAGTCATTTAATTACCTTTCTGTGCTTTTATTAATCTCTTGCCAATGTCCAGAGTTATGAATGCTGTGCCATTCAGAACAATATCAATCACTGTTTTCCATGCATTTGGAGACAATCTCTCCGTTGGAGACACAAAATTCCCTGCTGCATTATTGATGATTATATCAGGGAGGCCACACTCTTTCTCGCAGAAGTCCACAGCGGCTGCCACTTGACTCGGATCTCGAACATCTGTGGCTACAGGGAAAACCTACAAATTGAAACCTGTCAGTCTACAGTTATAAAGAAAAACATACACTAGAGGTTGGTTTGACAAACAAAATTTGTGTCTTGTGTCATGTGTCTTGTAACATTTTACCCAGATTTCACAGGTCTCACCAGTCCACTTGATCTCTCGTTTTTTCACTTGGGGGGAGGGGTGCAAGAGGGGGGTAGGGCAAAGTGGAAGGTCATTGTAAAAACCACTGCAGCAACTTGTCCCAACATGATGTCACACATAGATAATAATATTAATGACTTAATATTGTCCAGGTATAGGTTTTCTTTCTCATGGACAGTGATTAAAACTGCTTATTAATTAATGTCATTCATGCACATGGAATTCATGTATATTTTGTAGTCTAGTACACACTGACTTTGTTTCCAGTGTCTCTGGAGATTTCTTCAGCTGTCTTTTCAAGAACTTCAAGCTTTCTGTGAATAATTTTAATACAAAATTATGTACAAGTAAAATTGAAAATTTTGTAGTACACAAAATTAATTTACTAAGGTATGTGCCTCAATGTATATACCACTAGTTATGTTTTTTGAGTATGTGGGAAATTTGAAACACATGGTGAGACATGAGGTGCATCATTCTGAGTATTTTATTGCACACTATACCCTGTGTACACAGGCTAGGGCGTCTTGACTATTGAATCTAATAAAATTCACTGAAAAATCATGAGCAAATTTTTAACATAATTTTTCCTTTATAAAAATATGTTCAAAATATTTCGATGCCCACATTCACACTCATAAATGTAAGCCAGCACACAAATTATAACTTGAGAAAGCATGAGTATGACAATTAGGCTGAATGTTTATCTGAGATGTAGTGAACTTAAGCCAACCAACCAGATTACTTACTAAGGCCCCGTCCACACGTATCTGGATATTTTTGAATCCGTAACTTTTTCTTTCCGGATACAGCTTCTGTCCACAAGCATCCGGCAAATTCAGCAGCAAATCCGGATATTTTTGAATACGCTCTCCAGAGTGGAAAAAAAAATAAATCCGCGATGAATCCGATAACATGTGGATGGTGAATCCAGATATTTTCAAGTCCAATAACGTAGCAAAATCGTGTCCAGTCTCTTACCGAACAATTAACCAATATGGCAGCACAACGTGTAGGCCTAGTTTCTCCACAGTGAATCCGGATACCATCAGATGCATGTGGACAGGCAAATACGATTTGAATATGCTACGCGCGGACAGGGAAATTTTTTAATCCAGAAAGAAAAAGTTGCGGATTCAAAAATATCCGGATACATGTGGACAGGGCCAAGAAAGCATTATTGTGAAGTAATAACAATGATCTAAGACTTACGTACACTACAGTACTCACATGCTAAGTTTATTATCTTTTTGAGGGGGGAGGGAGGGTATATTAATCATATGGTACTTTTGGAGGTTTAACTCACGGCGTCACCTCCCTTACTCTTTCTTTCTTTGAACACACCTCCAGTGGCAGATCTAGACCTTGAGCTAAGGAGGAGCCCAGTTTTTTTGCTTGCCCTGCCGGCTTCTATTCCTTCTGTGATTTTTTTTTTTACCCAAAATAAAGGGGGGCCTTTGGGTCCCTCCCCTAGATCCGCCACTGCCCTCCCGGGGGGGGGGGGTGCAGCCAATCACCCCAACCCATCCCCTGCCATCCTAACCTGATTTGCTTCAAAATTTAATTAAATTATTCTTTTTTAAAATCGCTGAGCTTTAAATTAAGTTAACAATAGCACCTGCTGGATATGACGACAGTGGCACCTCGTTCAGACAACATTTTGACCATTCCTTTTCCCAGACCTGTCCCTCCGCCAGTGACAAAAGCGACCTTGCCTTCAAAGCAATTTTCAGGCAGCATACAGTCACTCCGCACGGGAAAATAACTTCCACTTGAAAGGTGATTTACGCTTGAGCTCAAGTTTCTTTTGTTCTTAATTCTGGTCAAAAGTGAATGTTCTGGTCCAAATGGATTTGTTCTGACAATCAACCGCCGAAAACAACAAGTTACCCTCATCGCGGCCGCCATTTTGTAGATAATTGAAAGTGTACTCAGGGGGTATCCCCTATAACGATTGTTAATCCCATATTTTGTGCGTTTCAAGATTTTTGATCAAGAATTTTTTTATTGCAAATTAAGTTTACTAATCACAAAATCAATTTAAAACTGGAATAGTTCTATGTCTCTTCCTTTAAGATTCGTTTTCGTTATAAATGATGTTCCCGAGCCCATCCTACAGCAAAACTCTGTGTAAACTTTATCCCAGTCCTTCAATCAGTTCTACGTTTCCCGGTCACGCTTGCGTTTCGTGATTCTTGCGCGCTGGATATTTATTTTGAGTGCGAATTCTCTCAGTAATTTCAGAATGTAATGGATGCGTCTCTCTCATGGGTCACACCATCACGTATTTCCAACGTGGAAAGCAACATGAGGTCGGAGTGATGCTTGCACCTAAGGCAACAGAACAACTCCGTAGAATCTGATAGAATAATATACTTCTGAGCAATGGATCCATTTCGCGTGAAATTGTTGTCACTGTCCAACGAGATCACTGATCGAGAGCTTGTAGAGTTGAAGTTCATTTGCAAGCAGCACATTCCTGTTGGAGTATTGGAAAAAATTAAAAGGCCATTGGAGTTGTTTGATGAGCTTGAAAACAGGAACTTGTTAACTCCGGATAACAAGGAATTTCTGGCAGCCATATTAGGCGGAATAAATCGCTTGGAACTGAGGGATAGCTTGCTAGGTAGGGGTTGTAACCATCTTAATATTCACGGTGGCTTGGCAATCTATCATGACACAGTTGCTTTTATACTTACGGTTGTCGATTTGCGGTAGCAACTAGCCTCTAACAATTTGGAGGTAAATCGATCAGGCCTCAACCTGAAGTCGATCAGCCCCCCCCAAGAAAAAAAAAATTGCCTTAATTTAATTAGGCCCGGTCTACCCGTCTGAAGCAGACGGTTAGCACTTGTTGGTCAATCTAAATTCAGTCAGACAAACTCAGTTGGGTCAAATGTCGAACTTATCATGAACTTAATTGCTCAGTTTAGTTCATCTCCAGTAAAGTTCGGCCTTTGGCGTGGGCCTTATTCTTCTTGTAAATATGATATAGTTTTGTAACTGCAGACCTGTTTGTTCAGCCAAGCATGGGTGTTGTCAGAGGAATGGGTGTGATGGAGGAACAAGGTTTTTCAATTGTAGTCTGAGAAGAATGAAAATTAACCAGGTACATTTAGACCTAATTTCTTTATTAATCGTATCTATAGCAAAATTCTTGATCGTGATTGGTTCTCCGTGCACCTTTTTGTCACGTAATTGGCATGTGATCACATGGGTGTCCAATTACAGGTACCCAACTGGAACTTTTCATAATTGGATACCCACCTGATTTGTTCATCAATTACGTGTGCTGGCTTCCTTCACACTGTTGTCTACAGTTTTCAACAACAACAACACTTATGAAAAGCGTTACAGACGTTTTCGTTCAAAAGAAGTCCTCTAAAGACATTAATAATTCTGAAATTTTGTTATAAATACGATTAGTTAGTAATTGGACCTCGTGTCGCACAATTTAGGGAGTAGTCGTGCTCGTAATTTCAAATTTGCCTCATGCTTCACACTCATCCAATTTTGAAATTACTGGCGCAATTACTCCCTGAATTGTACTCCACTCAATCCAATTGCTATTACTTATTACACTCCTTTATTTCCCGCCAAGCATTACCATGTTGTCTTGCTAAGTGGGCTTTGATATTACAAAGCCCTCCCAACTATCAAACATTCCTGAGTCATGAGCGACTCAGCGGGATAATTGATTTAAGTAGGGACTAATTGACTTCTGGTTGAGGCTAATTGTCTGGGGACTAATTTTTTTTCCAGTTGCATTTGATTGTGTAAACAATAATGTTCCTTTGGTTTGCAGGAAATGCCAGGGAGGATCACTCATCTCCATTGAGTGTAATGCAAGATACTCTGTTTGACCTTTACAAAGATGTAATTGGATGGCTACAGCCCCTTGCATGGAATAAATCATTTTATATTCACATCAAACACATTTACACCAACCTCCAGATGATCACGCAAACGCAGCATGGACGAAGCACTAAGAAAGAACCCTTGGAGTCTTACTTTGAGATTTTCCAACCTCGTTCACATTCTTCCAAGCAGAGGCGTATCCTCATTGAGGGCCAAGCAGGTGTAGGCAAGACTACATTTGCATCATTAATGGTGTATGATTGGGCATGCAGAAATCCTAACCTACAGCATTTTGAGCTTGTCCTTTTTATTGAACTCAAACAAGTGAAAGGGAACTTGAAGAGTGACATCTTTGAGTTGCTATTTCCAAGGGATTTTTCTTTTTCTGCAGATTATCTTTTCCAGTATATCATCTCAAATCAAGAAAAAGTTCTCTTCATTCTTGATGGCTACGATGAAGTTAATTCTTCACAACTGCAAGATGTGGAAGACCTCATCATGGGGAAGATATTCAGGAATGCCACCGTCATTGTGACTTCAAGACCTGGTAAAGGGTCACGGGTTCACTGGTTCATGGATTCCCGCATTGAGATAACTGGTTTTACCAACAAGAACATCCATGAATTTGTTCTCAAGTACTTTCAAGATGATGTGCCCATGGCTGAGAGCTTGATAGCACAGCTTGAAATGCACCCTGTTGCAGAGAACATTGCAAGAATTCCACTCACTGCAATGCTTATTTGTGCCATTTGGGAAGAAATGCCTCAAGCAGACTTGCTTTCATCAATGACCTCTCTTTTCATTGAGCTCACCCTCTTGCTTGTGAAAAGACACTATGCAAGACAATCTGACAAGGACAGCTTTGATCCTAGCAGCCTCTCCTCGCTGCAAGATATTCCGGATGATCTCTTCCAAAGCCTTCTGTCATTGGGAGAGATTTCCCTGAATGGATTGCTGAATGATCAATTGCTTTTTGATGTACCTGAGCTTGAGAAGAAATGCATCAACAAAGGTGCGTTAGACATTGGTTTCTTGTCAAAGGAGATGGGTGCATCCAGACTCAAACCAGTTCAGAAGTGCCGCTTTTCTCACAGATCTTACCAAGAATTTCTGGCAGCACTCTGGTTAAGCCACAAAATCAGGCAGGCATTTACTGACAGATCTGTGTTTGATCAAGTCAGTGTTTACATCATGAACTGCCTGTCCTCAGAATTAAGCTCTGTGCTTTTTCTGTTCTCTCCCGGGTTGTTGGGAGATGCCTTTCAACCTGTCTTTGAGCTTCTGCTCCTGGAAGGTACTGCTGAAGTTGACGAGGATGAGAGCTTAAGGCAGTCTCTCTTTGAAGTTTGTATTCTGTCTTTGTATGAATCTCATCAGGGACACTTGGCTTATAAGCTAGGGTCTCAAATGCCTCCTGGTGTGGTCACGCTGCACCATTTTAATGCTACCCCTTACTGGGTGAGAGCTCTGGTGTACTTTCTGTTGAAAAACCCTTCAGTGACATCTTTGGTGATAGAGCACAGTCAAGTTGGCAAGCAAGCTCTTCAAGTATTGGGAAGGTTCTTTCCTGAAATGGTCTCTATCCAAGAGGTGCACCTGCAGTCAAACATGATTACAGATGAAGGTTTTTCTTCTTTTGCAAAATCACTTTCTTCTGTGCCACATTTGGAGAGGCTGGTGCTTGCACACAACCTTTTAACTGATCATGGATTGGAGTCTCTAATCTCAGCCTTCAAGGATCTTCCTAATTTGCGTCAACTGGATCTCCAGGGAAACAAGATTTCAGAAGCTGGATTTGGAATGTTAGTCCCTGCACTGTCATTGCTACCAAAGTTGGAAGGGTTGCAGCTTGGTAACCCAGTGATTTCTGGGACAGAAGAAAGTCAAGCAGGTAGGGTTGCTCATATGCTATTTGACTTGCCAGCTATATGTTTAGAAGCCTCTCAGGGCAAATACAAGAAGAAAAGTTGTGAGAATGGATGACTTCATTTATCTAGTCATCAGAAAAAGTCTTGACCTCTTGTCGTTGAAATGCATCACATTATCACTGTTTTCATTGGGTGTAGCTATATCCCTGCCTCTTCTTAAAGATGATGAACTTGCACCAGTTAGCTACCTGGTTCTCCAATCTACAAGATTAGAATGGACCATAGGTAGGCAACTAGGTAAAGTCTGCATATGAGCCATGTGGCTTACCAGGCAGGAGCTTGTTCTGGTTGACGTAGCATGAAGGAACTAAGAGCATTTCTACTTCCCCCTGGTGGGATGCTAGTCAATCGCAGGGTTACCCCCAGCATTAAGTTTGCCGGTATCCATTTATCCACCTGGGTGGGAAGAGGCGCTGTGAGAGTAGTGTCTTGCTCAAGAACACAACGCCATGTCCCCCAGCCAGGGCTCAAACCGGGGCCGCTCAATCTGGAGATGAGCACACTAACCATGAGGCCACGACACCTCCAAGAGAAGTGGACTATACCTTTACAACTAATTCTTGAAAATCATCGCTCATGAGATATTTGATGAAATGAGATGGGAGTGTGGTGGGGATTTTGCAAGTCTGAAAATACTTGACTGTGTTGATCACTATTACACCATCAGCATATCCTTGGACTTGCCCTTTGGGTGGTGTATAGTTATCTTACGACTTTCTTGTGTTCAATCTTCTCTTCAATTAACTTGCACTGTTTTGATTACTTGTTGAGGTGGAGAAAGTCATTCGTCGACAGTTGGAAATGGCTCTACCGGATTGTCTGAGGCAGTTTTCAATTCATTAATGGAGGCTGTCAATTCACATGGCAGCCTTAAAACAATCAAGTGAGTATAAAGTACAGATATTAGTGCTCTCTAGGTGGTTGCAAACCCCTTGTAGATTACCCTCCAAAATATTGTCAGATTGCCTAGGAATTTATTAATACCATTGATAAGTATTTCTCCTCCAAGCCTGAAGAGAGTAATGTTTACAGTGAACTGATATCCAGGTCTTGAACTCAGTTCACTCATTCTGCAATCCAGTGCACTCACTATTTAGGTGGTGACGCACCTCACCCTCTGCCGAGGCACAGTGGCCTGGTGGTTAGCATGCTGAACTCCAGATCAAGCGTAGGCTCGATTTCTGTCACTCATTTGAGTCCGGCTGATAAGCAAGCCATGATCAAGTGGTACAGGTTGGCGCCCTTGCTGGGGTCATTGTGTTGTGTTCTTGTGTTCTTGGACACTCTCACAGTGCCTCTCTCCACTTAAGTGTATAAATGGGTGTTAGCAAATTTAATGCTGGGGGGTAATCCCGCAGTGGAGTAGCATCCTATCCAGGGAGGAGTAGTTCAAATACTCCTAGTCTCTTAATGTCACAGAAACCAGGATAAGCTTTCGTTGGTGGTATGCACCACTTGGGACTGACATAGACTTTACCTTATATCTCAGTTTTTCACTCTGTATTCAGAATGATGTAAGCTCACGGTGGTTTTACTAACTTAAAAGAGCATAGCCTGCAGTGCAAGCATATTTTGAGCATGCGAGTGCACATTTTCATAATAGGCCGCTATCTTGGATTTGGTAACTGTAGAGGGCTGGAGCAAGGGAAAATTTGCTAAGGGAGTAGATGTGAGGAGGCAAAAATTGGCAAGGGAGGAGGTGGAGGGGAAGGTTATTTCAAGTGCCCCAACCCCCACCCTTCTCTGCTCCAACCCTCTACCAGTCACGCATCTCATTACAATCCAAGATGGTGGCATCAAAAACCTAGTTTATCAAGCGTTCCTTTCCAAAATAACGCCTGCAGTGTAGACTAAAAAGAGCATGGTAAAGAATGTCAACCTCATAAATCACTAACTTGTACTTGAAAACTTCAAGTTCACTAATAAGATCTTCAATACGTAGAATCGTGTTTTGCACGACTATGTCTACACACTGCCTAGATAGCACTGTCTAGATAGCAAACCACGCTAAAAGTTTGTTTATTTTTCCCTTAGCCTCAGTCAAAGTGCAGTTCCTGTGGGTCAAGATACAGCCAAGTTTGACAAGCTCAGGGTGTCATAAAGTCAACATCAGTACACCTAGTTTCTCCAGAGTAAGACAAGAATAAATAATCCACTGAATGTTCAGAAGGGTTGCATGACAACACAAGCAAGGTGTCCACGCCAACAGGGCGATAATCTGGACATGGACGCTTGATGTAAATTTTCTCTTTATTCAGAATTTCCTTTGATGAAATCTTTGGAAGTAAGACTACATTTTTTGATATTCTCTCCTCTTTGAACACGTACCATCTGAAGGGAGGGGGATGGAGATATTTTTCAAACCTGCTATTTTTTATTAGTTAGGAACTGTAAAAAGTCAAAGACAGTCAAGAAATAACGTGTGGACTTAGCAGTTTATTATCTTTTTCCATTGGTGGTCCACGCGAATGATAAATTCCTATACAAGTACTTACATTAAGGATATTACATGAACGCGCGGAGATACTAATGTTATCTTCTGGTGATGATGGTATCTCTCACGAGAGAGCTCAGCAAACAAGTGAGAGGTACCATCAGCACGTGTTGAATCATATTGCAAGGTATTGATGAAACATCCAAATCTAAGACATCTCTTGCATTATTAATTGATTTTAAAAGTCCCAAAAACAATGGTCACCTTAGTTGAGGAAGGTTTAAATTAGAAAATTAGGTAACGCGAAGATTAAGTTCGTTTGCTCCTCAACAAAATGTTATTTTCTGTGTTAAAAAAGTCAAATTCAACCTCACTGACGTTGACATGTCCCACTGACATGTCCGTAACCATGACGACATCAATATTCTCACATGTGAAAAAATGAACTAAAAATTTTTTCGCTATTTCCTTAATATCTATATATTATTAAATGATTTTCTATTTCATAAATCTATCATATAGGATTCTTGTACCTTATGCCACACGATGGTTTTAGGGTATTTTGTCTCTAGAAGTAAATACCTAAAAGTAGTAATAGTTATTAGCTGGAAATGTTTTAAAATAGTAATTCAATAAAGAAATAACAGTCATTGTGTCCTGGTGGATAGAGAGGAAAGTGCCCTGAAAACGAGGTCGATATGTGCAACGTCAAATTGTTGCTAGGTAACGAAGAGATGACTAGAACAACCTGCACCGCTTTTGTTCCTTTTGTTGATGTTGTCTTTATTTTTTTTTTATTGGAATTTTACAAAGAGTGGTGGTTATTGCAGTCGATTTTCAACGCTGAGTCGAGTTACGTGCGACAAAGTCGCGAATCGCACATATTAGGAGAAACTTTATGGTTCAATATTCCTCTGTTGGCTATTAATTAAACCTTCCGCTAAACTCTCTTGAAGCTAACAATAAATGCTCCACTGCCGACAAACGGAGTTCCAATTTGCGCAATTTCTTGCAGTAATACACTTACGTTTGCGAAAAGCTGTGAAGAAAAACACCTGCCAACCCTTTTTTATCGCTCGTCGTGTTTTAAAAAATCGTGTGCTGATAGATCGTGATAAAAAAGAAGGAATATATTATGATGAGTTTGATCTGCTAGAGAACTTTTGAGCCGCTGTAAAGTTTGCTTTCCTATGACGGAAAACAGCTGCTGAATCTTCAGTTTCACGAACTAATTTAAATTTTCCTGATCAGTGGACATCGAATGATTTATGTTTGTTCTGCAGGTGTCAATGTGCTAAGATAAATGTCAAAGCTTGGCTTATTTGACTACCAAAGACCACAAGGAAAGAGTCAAAATTGCCGTGCTAAACGCGTCCTATTTTACACTGTGCAAAGAATTGAAGTCGAAGTTAAAGATCTTATCTTGATCTGCTGTAAGCGGCGTTCAAGCAGATCGCGTGTGAGCAGTTTACCCGTTGTCGCGTTCTACTGAAAGAGATGCCAGCCCTTCAATTTACGTATTTCATCGACTGAATAATAATGCTGAATTTAAATATCCTTTATCCTAAGACTAAATATGAAATATTTACAAGAACCACACTCATGATTTATAGCACCGGTCCTAACACCAGAAAAGAGCATATGACTACCGCTGGCGTGAAGCCGATTGTAGACTTCTTGGGAGGGTCTTACTCTGGAGTTTGAAGATGACGGAACCTAATCTCGTTTTTCTCGCGGTTTTCAATTCCCTGCTCAGTGTGTTTGGAAGCTTGATGAATTTAGTGGTGGCGTTTGTCATCATTCAGAACCCGAACTTACAAAAAGGTTTAAATCTTCTGCTTCTGAGCCTGTGCGTTGCGGACTTTATGAATTGTGCGATTTCACAACCCATGTACGTGCACGCGATTCTGAACAACGCTGACGAGACAGGCTCCACTTATACACTAGTCTTCACCATTATAGCATTCATCACATTACACGCTTCTACGACAAACCTAGTAGCCATGACGCTCTACCGAATGAAAGCGCTTTCGCGCCCATTCGCCCACTTTCTTCTCGTTTCTAAGAAACAAGTTCTGATCGCAATCGCTCTGGTTTGGGTGGCGTCGATAGCAGTGGGTGTCTTTTTCGCCACTGATGCGGGAAAGCTAGTCGCAGCTTATGTTCATCTAGCGATGACACTTGCTTGGATTGCAGGCTATGTTGGGCTTTTCTGGCTGGTGAAGCAGCACAAGACGAAAATCGTTTCGTTGGAAGGTTCGCCCACGACCCAGCTGCAAACAGCCAGTCTGCAATACGAAAGCGAAGCCGCCAAAACCTCGGCCATTTTAGTGGCCTCGTCTTTAGCGTGTTTCTTTCCCGATATAGTGTTGGATTTCATGGGTCGCGCAGACGAGAGCAGAATGGCGTGGGGGTTTACCATTTTGTTTATGAGTTCGACTATAAATCCCTGCCTCATTATCTGGCGCAGCCAACACTTCAGGCAAGTCCTTGGAAAAACTGTGCGAGAGGTTCGGCAGAGGCGACTGAAATGAGCGCTCGCGAAACGCTGGTAAAACTACGCTTTCGTAGTGTTTAATTAATCAGCACTGACAGTATGAAAGTTGTAAGTAAAGGTATTAATCAACGAGCGCTAAAGCTCGTTGGAAATCTTTGATCAGTTGTGCACGATATTGTTCCAGATGAGCCTACATCTTCCGTGAAGTCAAGTATTGTTGTAAGAAAATGTTGAGCTAAGAAATCTGTTCGTAGTAAACTTAACGGCTTCTCGAGGTTCAGCTGACAGAGAAAAAAAACTCCAAATACCATAGATGTACAATACCCTGGTTACAACAGGACCTAATTAAGTAAGCGCAATTTTACACACGCGAGTTGTAGTTGATGACTGGAATTAGGGACCTTAAACAATGACGACTGCGTCGCCGGGGACGACGTCCAGTAGAAAAGAAATTTATATTTTCTCTTCGAATTTCGCTGCTGTATAGATTTGTTCAGTGCACCCTGTCATCTGTCTCACAACTTATTCGCGTTCTCGCCGTTCGCGTTCTCCAAAATACGCGGAACTTGGTCGCTTCGCGTTTTCCTCCACATATACATGTATTCGCGTGGAACGGCAGATGAACAATTGGGTTCTCTAAATGTTAATGTGAGCGGTCAATCGAGCCGATAAAATGAATAGTGAACAATGATGTTTTATCTGAACTAGTCCACCTTATGATATCCTGTTTAGAAGCTCTTTCCAAAAGATCATTTAAAAGTAATCGTGTTTTTCGACGAAATTATGATCAGATTTACCAACAACACGTATGCCCGTGATGAGAAAAATTACGTAGTTCATTATCAGTTCTTTATTAAACAAGACAGGACAAAACGAGCTTTCTACAGGACTTTAAAACTTCTAAAATTTAAGCCAAAAGATTCATCTTTTAATTCTGCGAGGTCTAAATGATCCTAACGATCTGGCAGAAAGAGATTTCGGAGGACTTTCAGGCGTTAAATTTTCGAAAAGATTCACGCCTACGGAAATTGAAAAGAAAAACAATTGCTTGTCCCAACAGACTAATTATTCAGTTTGTTGAGCGGTCACATCAGAGACAGCTGCACAATTGAAATTAAAACAGAATGGCGTCGTCACCTCAGCTTTCGAATTTGAAACTTGGCAAATGTATATAGTGTATTCCAGTTTTCGTCCATATTCAAATTTTCACAACTTATTTACTGTACATACCATACATTAGGTTCAGTGTTTCTTTAGGGAACATATTTTTTAATTACGGTCCGGTTTGCTTTTAACCACTTTTCTTATTTGGCTAGACAATAAGAACAATAGTACGGTAAACTAACATGATTTTATGAGCATTGTGAGAGAAAAAGAAAACCTGTACAGTTCATGCAGCTTCGTTATCTGTAGTGTTTTACTTCCACTGTTTATTTCAAGCAATTTGGTGCGTGATATTCAAAACCAACAGCTTCTTTTGTTTTTATGTAATAGTTGAAGGGAAAAACTTCAGTGCCTCAGTGTACAGTTGCAAACGATCTTCAGCCAAGCAACATACATACATGACCTTTATTTCACCTCGGATTTACAAGAGTAGCTGTATAGCTAATTTCTCCAAGAAAATAATTAATAAATAAATAAATAAATAAATAAAATAGTATTGATAATAAAAAAGTAATAAAATCGCATATTATATACAGTACAATAAACTGCTATTTACATAAGTAACAATTACATAGATGTTCGAAAGAAATTTGGCATATTTTAGCTCTAAACTCATTCAAGGACTTTATTGACCTCAGACGCTTTAGGTTTGAGAAAGATCAAACAAGAAACCACAGCACCGGAAACAATTTCATTTTACACCGCACACCGTAAGGTTTGAGATCACCAGAACACCGCAAGGTGGGACTTTATTCACAGCATCACCACAGCAAAATCAACATAGCAACACCGTAAAGCACCTGTCCCCCTCTAACAATAAACATATAATTTCTAATTAGAAGAAAAAATAACAAAACATTTATTAAAAAGTCATCCGGGAGCTCTCAGTTCAATTCTACCTTACGTATTTGTGTTTTTTTTTTCCGCAGAGAAGTACAAAGCTTCAATAACTGTTGAAATGTTTTCTTGTTCTGTTATTGCACACCGTTTCCGTACCAATTCAATTCAACTCAAAGCTCATCGGACCCTGGCCAGCGCTTTTTTTTTTAATCAAAAAAGGTTCCCTCAGTATACATGTGCCTGTGTTCTTCTGTTCTATGACGTCAGAGAATGCCTAAATTGCACAACAGCAGACTTTCTTGCGTAGAGATTTCTACAATTCGACACAACATTGGCGTCAACTCTTTTTAAATCCCTGTTTGCGTTTCTAACGCAGATCAGTGATATGATATATAAAAGACGCATTCATAACAAATAGTTCATGGTGAAGTGCAACTAACGAGTGCAATAGGGGACGATGACAGTTTTGTAGATTTAGAATTGCTATAAGGAATAGTTCTTGATATGTTTTCTTTTTCTTTAGACTAGAATTGTAAATAATTATTTGTAATTATTCATATCATTCATATAGTTTGTAAAGCGCATTTGATCACATCCATAAGCAAAAGAATATGATCATAATCTCTTGCCGCAAGCTAATTGAGCCACCGAAATATTATAATTATAATAGTTATTATTATTATTTAATTACTGGGAAAAAACTGGGTCAGATAACACGTATATCATGTAGCAGACAATTAACAATTATTATATTGGCCGAGCTTGAGCGAAATCTCGTGATTTGTTAGTGGCGAACAGATTAATTATTACGCGTGAGCATGTTAGTATACTTGCAGTAAAACACATTTAGACGGTATTACGCATGAGCAGACCATTATTTGTAGGCAGTTATTTGTAAGTCACGTGGTAGGCTCTCGGCCAATGAATAGGAAGACAAAATGAATCGAATGTTCATAGCTGTCATTGCTGTTGAGTCTGCGGTAAAATCATACTCTTATTTAAAAAGACATACGCATGCACAAGGTGAAAGGATCAATATTAAACATTATTATATGGCTGTGTCTCACAAAGACTGGGAACTACCGAATTCACGAATTTGATTGGCTGAAATCGATATTGACCGCGGTCTAGATTTTCCCATCTAGACCGGCATCTAGCTAGACCGGTTTCATTTTGCGTTGAAAAAGTAGCAAACTCAAATACAAAAATGTTCACCATTTCTTTTATTTTCTTCTCATGGAAGTGCCAAAAAGCTTGATGACAAAAAAAAAAGTAAAGAGGACGAACAAATTTCGGCAGGTTTAAGTTAAGCTCATCGCCGTTCGCAAGCAAACTGTCAGCAAACCAGTTACGTTAAACGAATTAAAGTTTTCTTCTTTGCCATATAATAAACATCTCATTAACCGAGCTAAGTCGGTCTGTATGGGAGAATCTTGACCTCGGTCGTGTGTACAGATCTCACTGCGTTTGGTCTGTACTCACGACCTCGGTTACGATTCTCCCATACAGACCTCCACCTTGGTTAATAAGAGCTAAGAACTGACCCTTTGACCTCGCTTGCATGTCAAGACGGGCGACAGGTATTCCCTGGTTTGGGGCCTTGTTCTATTACTTGGGTGTTCGTGGGCAGCAAAGTAGCTAGTGCAGCTCCCAGTAAGTTGCTTATGAATGTATCATGAAGCTAAGGGGAGTGGGGAATTGCGTGTTAGACTCGCGAGACACGCATTAAGGGGGGAGGGGGTGGGGAATAGCGTCAGCAGTGAGAGCAGTTTCCTAACCATATTGACACCTTTATCACATACAAGATCTATTCAGTAGCGTCGCACATTCCACTGACATTAAGGATTAACACCCTCGCTCTTCGCTTTAATAAAACATTGTGCGCGTTCTCTCTCCAGAACCACAAAATTAAATTAAAAAAAACGACCTGGATTTAATCTACGGAGCCACGAGCATTTGGAAAAAATAGTTTCTTTTAAAACAAGGCCTACAATTTAGCTCTAGACAAGAGTTTCCTATAAGCATAGCTTGTCTAAAACAAAACATGGAAAAGTAATCTATAGAGCTTCTAAAACGATTCAAACGAACTACTCTTTGGCGCTACACAAAAAGGGAAAGGGCAGAAAGGGAGAAATTGACAGCAATTGAATAAAAGACGGAAGCAGGAAACGTTTTGAGATCGGAAGGTCTGACGTTGAACCTGCGTTCAATCTCGTTTGTATTACCGATAGACAACAAAATTTAATCGCAACTTGATCGTTGATGAGACTAACACCTTTAATTTTGAGTGACATGGGCAGTCGGAATATTTACGCACCAAAAAGGTTAATCGATTGATCTTAACGCGGTGTCCATTTCAAATTCTTGCCCAATTCGGTTCTAAAACCAAAATGGCACTGGAAACAATTTTAGTTTTTTTGTCACCCGTGTCAATGAATTTCAAGTTATTACTGAAAAACATTTTGAATAAAGGCAAGGAAAACTTGATCACTTCAATCTTTACTAAGTACTGCGACAATCCACTCGATGTCAGTTCCGTTCTACACTGGCATTATTTACTTGCGCTCTTACAAAATTTTATCAAGCGTTTGAATTTATCAGTCTAAGACGCTAAGGATTATTTTCCTCTGGAAATAAACCATTTGTTACAATAAAGAGTGCATTAGTTAACATTAGGGTAACTTTTTTATTCTCCAACAACATAGCGACGGTAACATTACTTTTAAAGAGTTGTCTATTCATTTATATTTTTGACAACCTATACAAACTATTTTAACTAAATATAATTGACTGAGTATAGTATGATTCTTTTTAACAACATTTACTTCTCCTTGAAGAAATCTGAAGAAATTGAAGCCTATATATAATTCGAGCACACTTTAGAAGAAATCCTTGACAGTGAAATAGTATTTCTTCTTCGTATTCACAAACATTGAAAAGTTTTTCGAAATGCGGCTCTGAATTGCTGACTCCTGCAGACAAAAACACACGGATTTATAACAGCACCAGTAAAAAGCAGAGTGTAACACCACAATAATCTGACTTCATCGGCTTTTCCGAGGAGCTCAAACACCACGTCTGGGAAGAAACAGATTAGAGAAGTACCAACTAAAATGGCAGAGGTTTTAGCTGCCTCGCTTTCGTATTTCAAGTTTGCCATCATGAAAGGACTTGATGGAATTCCCTCCTTAGACATAATCCTTCGCTTGTGTTTGCGCACAAGCCAGAAAATACCGACATAGCTTCCAATCCACGCTAGAATCACCGCTAGGTGAAGAAATGGGGCGGCCGATTTTCCTGGCTCCATATCGAAAACAAAAGCCATAATTCCAGCTAACATCCAAACTATTACAATAACAATCCACGCTTGTTTTCTCGTTATAAGAATGATGTGTCTGAAAAGCCGGGCGAGAGCTCTTAACCGGTACAGAGTTATGGCGGCAAGGTTGTTGGTTGACGCGTGCAGACTCAGGAAGGCAAAAAATTGGAAGACTTTATTCAGCGCCTTAAGATTTTTTTCCTTTTCGTTGACGAGCAAGTAAATGTACATTGGCTGGGCCAAGACGTTGGTCAGAAGATCCGCCAAGGACAGACTCAAAATTAAAAGGTTTAGACCCTTTCGTAAATCTTTGTTCTTGAAGATCACGAAGGCAACTGTGAAGTTCATGACACTTCCGAACGTGCTAAGGAAACCATTCAAGATGGACAAGCTGACAATTCGTGCAGCGCACATTGTTTTTCTTGTAAAACGCTTCTGACTTTGTCACATCTCACAAGACGGTAAACGACGATTTTATTGAATGCGACTGATTCCGTTTGACTCGATCGCCTCAGTCAAAGCGGATTGATTCATTGCAAGGTACATTTTTATTCATTTAGTGCGCGCGTTTTCTGGGTGTGTACAAACACATCACTGTCACAAAGTTCTGAGCTTTATGTGAAATTAAAGCCGACCGGAAATTTGCCAGAAGGCCTTTTCTTTTTGTTTGAACATTTATGAAAGCTTTGCGTTTTCCCTTTGAAAACACGCAATGGAAACTTATAAGGGTAAGTCGCATTACCAATAATTTTTATTATAATTATTTTAATTCATAATAACTGACAATGATGCAAGCAAATTTTCGAAAATTTGGTTACAATCCTAGGGTTGTTAAGGAGAGCGATATATCGGCAAATATCGACTGGGGGTTATCAAAGGAATCTAATTGCCGAGTTTATTTAACCATTTTAAAATCTCAGTGCGAAAACTGAGTTTCATTAATGAATGTACAAGATTGGAAAAACATTATAGAATAAAATTCTATTCTTGAGAAAATACGTCTAAAGAAAGAAAGGCCTTCATTTTGGAGTACAAAGAATAGAATTTCGGATTTTCCATTTAATAGCAATCGCCAGTCAAAATTGTTGATAAATGAAAGCCTTGGGGCTACACTGATCCAGAGATTGCTTTTCAGTTGATCTGAAGAGAAAAGAAAGACTGTGAATAAAGAAAAGTTAGCTAAACTCCAGAATACCCGGCCACTTATTAGCATCTCATTGAATAAGAATAGCAACTATTGTTATATACCTCGTTCTTGAAAGCACACCGGCACATGTAAATAAAGTAGCCGGGTATTCTGAAGTTGCTCCGAAAAGTTCACTATCGTCTCTATTCAGTTGGAGGTCTCGTATATCACCAAGAGACCATGATCTGTTGATATGAGTCAATTAAAATTTCCTTCAAACTTAAATTGAACCATTTGATTAACATTATTTGAAATATTTAGCATGGTTTTCACTCGAATTTTGAAAAGAAATTGGTTTTACATTACTTCGCTGCGTGATTGACGTAAAAGTCTCGCGCCACTTTTTCATCCAATTAGATTTAAAACTAAAACCAGTCGTGATTTTTTTCCACTTTTCCTGTCAGCTACATGTATTGATTTGTTCATTAATCGGATTGCCTGTGTCTTACGTTGTTTTTAAGTCACTCAAATTGAAAAATGCTCTCTTTTACTGGAGCAATCAGATAGGAAGGATAGTCCAGACCCTGTTGTCATATACTGAATCCGAACTGAATTTGGCATAAGGAGTTTTAGCAATGACAACGGCGACGTCAAGGACGACGCCTTGTGAAAAACGGATTTATATTTTACCCTCGAGTGTCGCAACTGTGTAGATCTGTTCAGTATGCCCATCGGTCTAAAAACCTGCTCAGGCTGAATTAGTAATGACAGCCGGTTCAATTCCAAAGGAAGATACGAAAAATTAGCCATTGCGGTACACGTTCTCCAAAATACGTATGACTTTGTCATTTCATGTTGTTGTTTTGCAGAGGACGACAAAGAAATGTACAAGGATTCAAAACGCACATGAAGAACCATTGTTCTGCTCATTAAACCTTTTGTTTGGTGACGTTCTCGTTGCCGTCGCCGTCGTGGTTTGCTAAAACTCCCTGGCGCGCACAAAATCTATAGGTTCCAAGCCCCTGGCCTTAGAAGAAGAAAAAAAATGGGAACGAGTCTCGCAGTCTGGATTGATGAAACGCCTGTCAAAATCCTGCACAAACTTGTCTACGTGGACTAAAACAAAAACATGAGATTCATCGTAAGTTCTTATTGTTATTGCAATATCATTCCGCCTTCGGAAATGTTTCGATCATGCTGCTGGTAGTCTTTAGTTTATTTATTGAACTCGTTTTCTGTGGATTTTTCTTCGTGGTTTCTCTTGATCCTGAGACTTGCTCGGCGAGAGATCAAGATTGCAACGCGGAAGTGAAGGAACATCCGAAACTTGTAAGATTAGATGGTGTTCAGGTGAGGCGAAATTAATGCTTAAGCATCAAATGCATCTGCTGAAAAAGTTATAAGGCAGAATTCCTATTTGCACTGGACTGGATAAAAGTTAACAGTTTTTCAGAACATGACAGTTACAGCAACTGGTCTTACATGTTACATTATTTAAGTAATTCAATAGTAAACTTAATAATTTAATAACCTCCAGACTCTCCAGGTTTCTTGTGTGCAAGTAATCAGCGGCTGTACTCTTAGGCCGTTCTGTCTGTATTGTATATCAAAGAAATAAAAAAAATCCATATCAGCTATTGTAACATCAATTGATGACCATTGATTGTTGATGATGGAAACAGAAAAATGAGTAAGGTGCGAAAATAATAATTACCGGTATTGAACTCGAAAATTAACGTTAGTCAACGGGTATCAGTTTGCCAATTGCAAATGAACTGTTGTTGATTCTAAACAAAAATACACTTCATGTTCTCAAAGAGATAAACACAGTAAAATCTTGATATGAAGTTGGGCAGGTTGCAAAAGATATATCACCAAACTGATGGAATAAAATTAACGAGACTGTCAATTTTCAGTAATTTTGTCAGTGTTTTGGAAGGCAATAAATTTCATATAATTTATTGCAGTGAACATAGTTTTAAAACTCTAGTTTTGTTAGTTAATTCCCTGGATATCCATAAATAACTCAATGTTTATCAAACATTACTCTTAACATTGTTCCTGCTATGGAGATGTCAATATACAGACTCAATATCTTACAGGCCTGGCCTTATACTGTTTCACATTTTCAAACTTAATTTTATTGTCTCACATAAGGTTGGCCATGTTCAAGACATTCAGTTGAAAGAGGACATGAAACACCAGTTAATTACTAAAAGCTTGAGACCACTTCTGTTCGGTAAGCAACATGTGTTCATCATGCTATCACTTAATTACTTGATATAATTTTCAGTTCTTGATTCAGTGACATGCCTGTCCAGCATTTTTATAAAGGAGGTGGGGAGGGGGGAAGTGGCATGGAGAAAAGATGAACATTTTTGGGATCTAAAAACATTTTGACTTATTTAGGCCTTAGTTATATTTTTCCACAGAAGTAATACATGAAGGATAAGAGCAAAAAAAAAAAAAGAAGAAAGAAAGAAAAAAAAAGGAGGGCCACTGAGATCCCTTACACAGATTTAACATCAGTAAGCAAAATGGAACTTTTTATGTTGTGTTTACATGTACCAATAATATTAAAACATTGCAAATATGTACACAGTCAAGTCACTATCAGTCTTTAAATATTTATGAATTTAATTAACATTATTTTCTTTACCTTTCTAGAAATACCTGATTTCTTGAGTGCCGAGGAATGTGATCATATAATCAAACTTGCTGGTGAACAGGGTCTGTACGAAAGCACAACAATGCCTGATCCTGATGAGGATGAAGGTGATGGAGAAATGCCTACTAACAAAAAGTCTGATTTTCACTACAAAGCTTAATCAGTGAACTTTTAGCCTTTGGAGAGAGTTATTATCCCGGGGGAACTCCTATATGAAAAGCACAGGGGTGCTTGGCATACCTTTTAGTGTTTAAAAAAGTAGCTTTGGTAGCTCTTAGGCTGTTCAGCCTCAAAAGGTCCACAGCAGGAGCTTTTGCTGTACCTAATTTAGGGTGTTGAGCTGAAAAGATTTGACAGGAGGTTCTGTGTTGTTTCAGAATTAGGTACCTCTTTGGGGTGAAAAAAATTTCAAGCCATGCCCATAAAAGACTTATCTTCAGTTGGTACCTTTTAAGAGTTCTTTTTAAAATTTATGATGTGTTGAGCAACCTCGTCCTTTAAATACATCATGGGCATCCCCTCTCCAGGATTATTATAAGTTAATATGTTTATTTCAAATGTTTAATCAGTCTAAATTGCTCAGTTGCTTACTCATGTACTTGCTTCATTTGTTTGTCTTATTAAATGTGTAGCTTTGAGTGATGAAGAAAAGAATGAAAACTGTCAGCATTTGCTTGCTAGTGCAGATGAAGACAGTGATGGCAAGATCTCACCATTAGAGGTATGCCAAACAAGGTTTTAAGTAATGTTTAAGAATCTAATAACAGTGTTTTAAACCAGATAAAACACATGCTGCAACTTTTTTGAACAGCTTCAAAAACATTTGTGGTAGATCTACTCATTTTGTTATCATTTTTTCTGGAGAAAATTGGCTGTAAAATTTAGCTGTGTCTTTATCAAATTTAAAGACACTCATTACACATTCATTTCCTTTGTATTTTCTTTATGACTTATTAATGAGTTTTTGAAAAATCACTTTGCAAACAATGTTTTCTTCCAGAGAAAATAGGTTACCCACCTCAAGGAGGGTTATTGAAAATTCCAAGGGGGGAAGAGCTAATATTTTAAAAAAAGAAAGTATGAACTGAAACTGGAATTTCCAGAGTGATGGGGTGGGGGGATTCAATTTAAAAATCCTTCTGTAGGAGGGGTATGGATAGCTTCGTGAATGACACAGTGAATTTTTTTGACTAATGTATAAACATGTGAAATTTAATTGAGAAATAATTTAACCTTCTGTCAAATTAAAATGACATTTAGTGGTCTTCACTTTTCAGTTTGCTATGTTCATAAGGAAGGATATGAACTTGTCAGTGAATGATACTGATGTTGATCAAATGTAAGTAGTGATTTGTGCTTAAAGTATGTGGCATGGAAAGCTATTTTAATAACCTAGATTTTATTTACTGATTGCTTTTCATAATAATATGTAGTGCTCAGAGTTAAAGAGTGTGTTAGCCTCTTTCAAAATATTATACCTGGAAGATAGCTAAGTTTATGTAAACCATGGCAGCAATGACAAGGAGATCATCCTAAACATAAAAGTTTCAGATAAACAGAATAAGTTAATGGTTCTACAGGAACATACATCATGGTACAAATATTTTCTCATTTTGCTTTGTATATCATATGTTGGATAGTAAGTATTTTGGGAAGAAAAGCTATGTAAAGTTTAATTTGGTGAGAACCAAAGTTTGAAACCAAATTTCCTAATTTGTGTTCCTGTGTGGGCCAACCCACACACGACCGCTCTTATGTGGCTTTGATAGCTCAGTTGGGAGAGATGATTGCACAGGTATCGCAAAATTTGTAGGTTCAAATCCCGTTCAAAGCTTGAAAATGTTTTCAGGTCTCTTTTCCAGTAGTGTTATGGCCGCATTCGCATCTATGATCATGTCTACATTTAATAGCTACTGTTGGAAATCTATTACTATCAAATTCCCTAATTAGCACTGATCTCCATACATTTCTTACAGCACTTTTGGTGAGACTTTTTTTCAAATATGAAAAGGTCGGGGATGCCCATTGGAAAATTTAAATTAAACCCTAATAAAAAACCATTCTGGGAGAGCTTTTTTTGACACCTAAAAGATGCCACTTAAAATGGAATATGTTTGATTACCAGCCACTGTTCAAGAAAGGAGCCTGCACTTGTAGACCAAACTATAGGGCCTTGCAGAAATTGAACCTAAAAATTTATCGGAAATATGGGTGTTTTTATTATTAATCTTTTGAGTACACCCTAAAAGATATTTTGACAGCTAACAATAGTGGTGTTTCATCATGAATTAAACTCGTCACAAATAGATGAGCTTGGGAACTGGTGCCTGAAAGGTTAGAGGGGAGCAGAAGCCGTATGCGGAAGGGGAGGTATCCATGGCAACCCTGAAAGCAGGAACCACCCCCAAAAGCAGCCGCTAACTGGCACCGTCACACTGATTGAATCAGTGGAAACAACTTACCTGACCCGTACTTACCTAGAGACCAGCAACCNGGGAATTTTTTTTTTAAAAAAATCAAATTACAGAAGTACTGTAAGAGATGAAATTATTGCACCAATTTAATTTTAAATTAAATAATCATTCTAGTAAGAAATTTTGGGAAGAAGGTGTTCACCTGCATTAGGTTTCATTTTGCTATGGTTCTGTCCAGTGTCAAAACAGATATATATATATATATATCTTGTTCCTGTAGGAAAATCCAAACTGCTGTGATGTAAGTATTGAAAAGACCCTAAGCCTTGTAATTTACTTGTTACTGGACAGTCAGAACAGCCAGAACAGCCATTAAATGATTACATCATGCTTGCCCTTTGAATGATTCAAACAACTACATGTACACACAATATACAGTACCTGCTAGTGGAGAACTCCTCAAACATTGTATCCATTGGTTCCATTTCAAACTGCTCATCGTCATCAGACTGGTATTGTGCACTTGAAACAACAAAAGAGAAGGTATTAGCATAGCACATATCAGGCTATAATTTACTAAAAGATGATAATCATAAATATATGAATCTAAATAAGGACAATCAAATTCTCAAGGTGCCGAAAATGTTTTAAGAGACTCTGATAGAAAACAAATGCTGATATGAGTGGCCTGAATGGCAAATGAGATGTACATCCTTGGCAAATTTCAACTCTAAATACAGTGTAATCTTGCTTTAAACTCATCACAAATAGATGAGCTTGGGAACTGGTGCCTGAAAGGTTAGTGGGGAGCAGAAGCCGTATGCGGAAGGGGAGGTATCCATGGCAACCCTGGAAGTGGGAACCACCCCCAAAAGCAGCTGCTAACTGGCACCGTAAACTATAGCTTAAAAATTAAATTAGGTGTGATTCACAAAAGCCAGCAACACCAAATACATTACTGTACATTGTACACTATTATAGACGACTCAGATTAGATACAAAAGGGACTACAAAGAAATGAATATGCAATTGATGCACAAAAATCACTGCAACCCAATTTCTTTTAAAGCAGAACAGCTATACATGTGTAGCCTGTACCTTATTTCTGGTCATATGGTAGTGCTTACCTTGTTGCCCTACACGTAAAAAACAATATTCTCTTCATCTTCTTGTTGTAGAAGAAATAGTTGAAGGACCAGAGACTTCCTTCTTCACCATAAGGGTCTGAGTCAAGATCAGGGTTATAACTAAACATAATAAAAAGAAAAAACTACTCAATGAATGTTTCTTCTTTGTGTAAGTATCATCAGCGCTATGTAAATACTAAGGTACACCTCAATACTGCAGGTAAAGTCTGCATTTGAGCCTAGTGGCCTACATGTAGTCCTGTTTCTGTAGCATAAAGTGACTGGGGGTAATTCTATCCCTACCGGATGGGATACTGGTCTAGAAATTTTGACGATGCCCATTTAAGCACCTGGGCTGAGAAAGGCACTGCCAAGGTAAAGAATCTTGCCCAAAAACACAAAACAATGACTGAGAAAACCCCAAAATGCTTGATTCAGTGTCCAGCACTAAATACTGTAGCTTCATATATATTCTGTTTTCACATTGTTAATCATCTATTAAACTAAAGAGTGGACAAGACATTCTGAAACGTATATAAAACTTAACCCAACAAAACTCTGTAACTATTTAACATGGTTACCTGTATATTTCACATTCGGCCAGATTAATCTCCTCATCAACAGCAGCCCACAGTCCAGACTTAAGAGCAACAAACGTTTCACCATTAATTGCTGACAAATTACCGTTGATTGCATCAACAACCAGCCGGAGGTTTGGTTCACGAGAAAATTCATGTGACTTTACATTACTGAAGTCGTAGTCTGGATTAAATGATGCATTAAGGGTGGAAATCAGGTAGAATAACATCTTGCGACTGATAGTGTCACACAGCACTGCTTCCTCTTGACTTCCTGTGCTTAAGCTTCTTTGCCGTGCATTAGCAAAGATTGCTGGGTAGCTGCTGTTGGTGGGTGATATGCTTCCTGGCTTTGTGGTTTGGGGTGGTGACAATGCCTGAAGCTCACTAGGTG